GTCTGCCCGGTGCCCCCACTTCTCTACCTAAGGAGCGTGTGTGTGTGTGTGTGTGTGTGTGAACGTGCGTCTGTGTCTGCGTATGTCTGCACATGTGTATGTTGGTGTTTCTGTGTCTCTGTGTGTGTGTGTGTGTGTATGCACGTGTCTGTATTTCTGTGTGTCTGTGTGTCTGTGTATCTCTGTGTGTTTGTATGTGGATGGTTTGTGTGTATGTGGACACATCTCTATATGTATGTGTGTATGTGTCTGTGTGTGTGTGTGTGTGTGTGTGTGAGGGATCACAGAGGTGAGTGACTGACTCAATGTCATCTAATAAGTGGCAGAAACCAGGCTCACACCTAGCTTTTCTAAGGTGAGTCGTTCTTTCCCATCACTGTGGTGGCAGCCAGCACTGTCGGCCCTCCGGTAATAGCCAGAAGTACTGCTCCTGGGGGTATTTGCCAGAAGCGTGTCCCCTTTGGTTCCTTTGTATGCAGTGCATCACTGAAGACAGCGCCCCTCGCCCTCTGTTCCCAACTGGAGGTGGTAGGCCAGCTGGGGTTGCCGGGTCCAGCGACCTTTGGTAACAGTTCTGGCCCGCAGCCCAGAGGGATTCCACCAGAACGTAGCGCCACCAGGTGCCATGCTGATCTGGGGAGGGGTCGCAGGACTCCTGTTTCTCTCCTGATGCTCCTTCTCCCCCAGGATCACTGTGGCGGTAACCCTGGGACCTTCCGGATCCTGGTGGGGAATGAGGGCTGCGGCTACCCCTCCCTGAAGTGCAGGAAGCGGGTCACCATCCTGGTGGAAGGAGGGGAGATCGAGCTGTTTGATGGGGAGGTGAGTGCTGTCCACATCCTCCACCCCCGACCCCTCTGTCCGCTGACGAAGAGCAGGTGCCAGGCGTGCGTGCGGGACGCGGGCGGATGGGACTTTGTGCAGCCGTTGAGGAGCGTGAGGCGGAGCTGTACCATCAGCCTCATGAGGGTGACACGATCCATTTAGTAAAAGGAAGTGCAGGGCCATGTGTGGAGAAGAGTGTGTAAATATATCTGCTCCAGCGTGGGGAGAGCCAGGGTGGACCGCCGGGGCGGCGTGGAGAGCGGAGGGTGGGAGGACTTCCATATGTAAATATATGTACACATGCACATAATGTGTGTTATATACCCACACGTGTACACATTGCACACATGTATAAATATATGTACACACACATATAGATATGTAAGATACACATATACTGTATATACAAATATGTATACACATACATACAACATAGAAACATATTATAGCCCCACATATATATACATTACCTACACAAGTGTATACACACATACATGTGCATGTAGTATACGTATAAATATACACACATATACACATATCTACATATATACATTATATACACAGATGTGTGCACACATACACACATATACATTTATTACACATATAAATATAGATACACACATATATACTGACATATGTATGCATTATATATGCAAATGTATATACACACATATATATGTATAAATATATACA